AACTCTGGAGGCTAAGGCAAAAAGATCCCAAGCTCGAGGCCAGCCTGGGCAATATAAAAAACAAAAAAGGGCTGGGGATATAGCTCAGTGGTAAAGCATTTGCTTAACCACTGGTTCCAATCCCCAGTATAGCAAAAGCATCTCAGAGTTAGAACTTCCCAGCCCATACCCTGGAGAGAACCTAATCAGCCAAGAGAACAGGGTGTCTTCTCTTCCCTCAGCCCTCCTGAGGCCTGGCTCACTGGCTTCTCCCTTGCTTCTGTTTTTATTGCCCTTGTGGTTGAAAGACAAATAAACCTCTCATGCTTTGATTTGTATCTGCCTCTCCTCCTAATGGAAAGGCACATGTGTCAGTACACACAGAGTTTGGGAAAGATCCATACTTAGAGAAGTGTTTTCTGGAGAATGGAGAAGTACACAAAAGATCTAGGAAAGAAAAAGAAAAACCAAAAGAACACAGTGTAAACTCAAATAACTGCCATAACTGAGTGTGAAGGAGGAAGGCTAAACGGTATACCCACAAGAAAACCAGTTATGAATCATGTTGCTCTTGTACACCTCCTGACACAGTACAGAAAGGGTACGTAGCGTCTGCGGTCCGCTTCTCTAATCCTTAACCCTAGCCTACTCCTAACTGCAACATCCATCAAGCGACAGCCTACAAAACACCTGGCCTGTACTCTTCAAAAACTTCAAGGTCAAAAAAGCAGAGAACTCTGCAGAAAGGTCACAGAGCAGAGAAGATGAAGGACACATGATGACCAAACGCAACATGAGACCCTGAAGAAGTGGAAAAACTGGGGAAATTCAAACGCAGTCTGGAATTTACTCAAGTTAATGCGCAACTGGGCAATTTCTTAGTTTTGGCAAATGTCCCATGGTTACATGAAAATATTCACAGAGACAGTAGAAGGAAACTCTCTGTACTATCTTTTTACAACTCTTCTGTATATCCAAGTTTATTCCAAAGTTTCAAGTTTATATTTTAAAAATAGGGACAATGTGGTCACCAAAGGGATTTTTGTTTCTTAAGATTAATCTGCTGTGCTTCTGTTAATCATGTTCTCATTGTGGGATTTCTATTGAAAACATAGCTGTCCCCTGGGTTTTAAATAACCCTTTGGAAGTTGTTTACTTGTTAGGATATAGTTTCCTGTGTTGGTAAGCAACATAACTGGGACACAGTGGAGAAAACGCTCACTCACAGCTGTGTGTATTTGGGAAAAATCATTTCAACTTTATCTGGGACTTTGGTGGTCCATTCAAACATCGGAGGAGTGGTAGATTTACTTATACTGCCCCAAAGCACTGAAATGATATACTTCACTTGAACAAAAAAAATAGCAGACATATGCAAACCAAAAGTCTTTTAAAATTGATTTGAGAGTACCATATGCCCGGCCGAGGCAAGAGAAAAGGACTGTGCACCTGAACTGCCGGTGAACTACTGGTTCTTGGTGTTCTCTAGAAAGCAACGATAAGGAACAGCGATCTGGAAACCTGGCAGAAAAGGTTGGAAACACCAGGAGGGGGATTCTGGGAGGCTCCTCCATGAACAGCAATGACTTTTACAGCTGAAGGGATCAGAGGAAACGCATTCACGCAGAAAATGATGTTTCTAAAAGGCAAACACTGTACAGAAGAAGCTACGCGAGAGGATGAGGCATTTGGGACAACGGTGCTTGCCCCTGGCTGCTGGACGGTACGAAGAAGAGGACAGGGGCCAGCCCAGCTCAGGGAATGCTCTTCCCAGCTCTGTCAAGATGAGGGCCGATAAATCATGAAGAAGTACTGAGCTTTCCGACAAGAGAGAACCTGAGTCTCATGTAGGAAAGACCCAGCCCTTCTTCCAATGAGAAAGAAGTAAGATAAATGGTTTAGTCTTAAACTAGAAGCAGAAAATGACAGTGAATGAGCACGGATAATGACCCAAAGCATCAGATTACAGGAAGAGCCAGTGTTTCAGCCCAAGGATGGAGCTGCTGAAAGAGTGACTCATACTTTGAACCAGTGCCCACTGAATAATAGGGGACCAAGTATCTGAACGTATTTACCTCTCGGGTATGGGGCTGCTACCCTAGGGTTCCCTCACATTCTCCAAAATAATCTTCGCACTTTAAAACAATGTACTTTACTGGGAAAGAGAAAAAAGAGGTAAGGCAGCCACAAACCCTAAACATTTATCCTTGAAAAATCTTCCTGACCAACAGAAGAAAATGGCTGCCCAGGTCCATGGCAGCGAAATCTGGGGCACCTGAGGAGCCATGTTTTGTCACATGATCCCAGGGAAAGTCTGGCTATCTCATCTAGAAGTATCAAATGGCCACAGTATACATAAAATTATATGCCTGAGAAACATAAAAATAACAGAATAAAATCCTGTCCTGGAAGACATTATAACATAAAGGCAGAGTCAAAGATAAAGTATGATCAAAAACTATGGTGAATGTCTAGATTTTTTTTTTTTTTTAAATTCTTTTAAAAGATACATTGCCACTAATCCCCCCTCACAGCACTCCACCGTCCCTCAAGCACCCTTCTTCCATCATTCTTGCCACTTTCTAAAGCACTTCTGGAAGCTCTCTTTCATGAATGTCTATAGCTGCACTATCACGACTGTCAATGTTTTGAACTGATTCAAAACATTTACGTTTCATGGTCATTTTGAGTGGGGGAAGAGCCAGTTGTACAGGGGCAGATCTGGTGAGCAAAGTGGGTGAGGACCCACCATACTACTTTTATTTAATAGAAATTACTGTCAACAATTGATCCATGAGAGGTGATAATAAAATTCAGTGACTGTTTAAATTTAAAAACGCATTAGGTTAAAAGACCCAATGCCATTAAGTCCTCCAAAAATACTCCCTCTTACTTCAAACTCGCTTAGCCTATCATTCTCGGCAATGTGTATTTTACTCTAACGCTTTAAAATTTAAATATCACTGTATCATTCAATCACCGCTTGTACATTTAACAGAAACACATTATGGCTTTCTGTAAGTTAACTGTCATTTTTATAATAGTGTAACACACTTTTACATTTACTTTCTCCAGAAAGATCCCAGGACTACAAAACCTCGGGTGGTAGGCATTGCTCTTATCTTCCACCTGTACTCCAGCAGCCAATGACAGATGTCCTGTGAGGTTCAAAATGGTTAGATGACCTACATAAGAGGACACAGGCAGCCAGCAGTCAAACCTGAACATCAGCTTTCTTCTAGTTACAAGTACAGAGTTGTCCCAGCTCACTTTTAAAATTTTTCTTTTGTCTTTAATGGTCTACATTGCACAAAGGAGTGTCTAGCGATGGATTTGATCTCACTCATTGTCACCCATATTCTTACCCATATCCCGCACATACTGTCTCTCTCTATCCCCTCTAATCTCTCCTTCTAGTATTCAGTTAGACCCTGCTGGACCTTCTTAGTTTGGCCTCCACCTTGGTCATATTTTCCTCCTCTTTCTGTGTGTATGTGAGTGTGTCTGTGTGTGTGTTTGTGTGTGGCACTGGGGGTTGAACTGAGGACCTTCACACTTACCTACATCCTCAGCTCTTTATAATTTTATTTTGATATAGAGTCCTGCTAAGTCACTACATTGCCCAGGCTGGGCTTGAACTTGCAATCTTCCTGTCTTAGCCTTCCAGAGTGCTGCAGTTACAGACAGCGCCACCATGCCTGGGGACAGATCTCTTTTGAGAAGCACTAATTCTCTCTGCAGCTTCATATAAGCTGCTAATTTATGCTTTCTAATATGGACCCATCCTTTATGCATACTGCTTGTTCTTCCATTAAGATTTCTCTACCCTCTTCTATCACTGAAATTATTTTACACACCTTTATTGCACAATTTCACCAGAGTAATCTAAGTGCTTCTCTGTGGTAGTTTTACTGTCAGTCCATCCTCAGAGGAGACATCCCTGGCAAGAAAACCTCACTTTCCCAGGGTTAAGGGAGCATCCCTGCTAAGTGGCTTCATGAGAATTTCCAGAGGGTCATTTATCTTCCAAAGCCTGTTTCATGCTTTCTCCACTTCAGGAAAAACTTGGATTCGTTATCCAAAGTGCTCAGTTTAATTCAAAGCACAGAGATTATGAATGTCACTCTCTGAAAGGTTCTGAGTTTAGCGGAAAACAACATATTCTTATAAAGGGATTTTTGTATATAAAGCACTTATCACAGAGAATAGAACATAGAACTGTTTACCAAATGCTAGTGCAACAATCTAGAGCTGGGAAAGAGGTTCTGTTGAATCCCTTCAACCCTCTCCAGCTGTTTCATCTTTTATGAAAGCCATCTCCCACCTCTGCAAGAATGAATGCATACTGGGTATTCAAGATGAACGCTGCTTTAAATTATATTTATTGCTATTAGCATACACAAATTATGAAATTGATTTTGGCAAGATTTAACTACTGGTTTTAATTTTCTGTGTTTCTCTACACATCCCATTCACCTTTCTTTTGTAGCAGTTGAGTTTAATCCATCTCCTACTCTGACCAATTTTTCTAAGGAGATTATGAAGCTACTTCTAAAATTACACTTAGAAAGGCGTTCTAAGACAATTATTCATGATTATACACCATTCGGGGTGCTATTTTAAAAGCCAAGCTAACGCATCACCGTCACACTCCCGAACCTTTTACAAAGACAAATTAATGAGCTGACATCGAAGCACGACAACATTGATAATACAACTGCCACAGAAATATATAAATATTATTTGGCTGTGTTTGCTCACTTGAAACATCATCCTTCACAGTTCACTACCAAGATTTCCTTTCAACAGACAGACGATTATCCAGTAAAAGAAAAACTGAAGCTATTCTATCACTGTAAATCTTTCAAGGTATGAAAGAAAACCAAAGGAGAAATGTTTGAAAGACTGTTCTGTGTCAGTTGAAATTTTCACATTCAATAAAGCTTGCACAGTACTCATTTTAAGATACACAAGTAATCTGCCCTCTTAGGTCACATAATAAAAAAATGTTTATTTCTCACCTCTGAACTTCTTGGGAGGGTTGGCAAGATCCCCTGCCTCTGGATGTACCACACATCTGTCATCCACTAACCTGGAAGGGAAAGTATGTTTACACTGTTAACGTCATCATATTCATAAAACACTGACTGCACAAGGATATCGTATAAATATTTACAGAGACTTTTAGTACCATTCTTCACTAAGAAACTTCTTAATAATCGTATATTTATCAAAAAATCTGGCTGTAGAGATGTTCATTAAAGCAAGGATTATGAAACTGAAAAACAGGAAGCACTATTAAGTGTAGGAAACTACTTAGATAAATCACGACAGAGACAAACCATGGAACACTACAGAGGTATTTAAAATTCTACTGAAGGAAACACAGAAAACTTTCAAATGTTTGAAACGCGCTGTGAAAATAAGCGTTAACCAATCCATAAGATATCACAATCGCATATGTTTAAATACAGGCACATGCATCCAGAGTGAATATAAACAGCTCAAAATATAATATTCCCACCAGACACAAACGCACACACACACACACAATTTCTACAAATATACACAGAAATATGCATACAAAAAATGGAACACAACAAAATATTGAGTTACCGTTTTTCTTTTCCGTTCTCTCCCCACCCCTGGTGTGTAAGAAGGAAGGGGTAAGTTTATGAGATCCAGCTATGGAGTGACAGTGACATAGGCGGTAATGGGCATTCAGCCTACATTCAAAATCTACCTCACACACATCCTGTCTAGGTGACTTTGGGACTCCTTTATTCCTGTAAAACAAGGGTAAGAGGACCTACCTCACAGAATTGTTAAGAAGATGAAACGACTTCCTATTCTTAAAATACCCACCATGATTCCTGGCACATATTCACTCCTTAAAGAAGGACTTAGTTCATTTAAAAGCAATCAAGAACCTTGTCTGACTTGTTCTTCACCACCCTCTGCTTCTAGAAGAAGGCCTAGTACATAACAAGTGCCCAACAAATGTTAGTCAAATGAAAGAATTACCTTCGCAGTTAGAAAAAAACAAGTATAATCCCTATTAAAATATGTAAGAAAACTCAAGGTCTAGTACAATTCCAAGAGGGAGAAGCTGAACTGAGAGTCAGCAGACAAGAATCTCAAGCCCAACGAGAAAAAACCTAGCTACCAAAGACTCACAAGTTCATCTATCCGCAGAATAAGTGGCGGGGATAACTGGTGGTTTTTCTAGAATACTGTGACACGTATATGAATTAGCTATATGTATGTGAATTCACATGAACGGAGATGCCCATGGAAATTTTCTTTTTTTAAGGTATTTACCAGACTTGCTAGCATACATCAGCTCCAGCACAAAATAAACCCTCTGAACAAGGATGACTAACCACGTCAAAATGAAACTTTTGGTTCCCAGTTTATCTAATTACCAGAGGCAGACACTTCCTAAATCACCAGATTTTTCTATGGGATTTCATTTCCACAAAACAAAATGCTAATTTGGTCAAGCAGTAGTGTTCTTTTTTTGATTTTTTTAAATATGTACTTCATTCATGCCGCTTTACTAAAATGTGGTTTTATAGGAGTTACAGGACATGCAGGAAATTCCTTTTAAGAGTCTTTAGAAGCTGTTTTCTTAGAAACAGGAAGTCACACTGGGTCAAGAGAAAGCAAACCCAACCTCCACAGCGTCCTACTGCAGTTTGTTTACTTTGACTCCGAAAGGCTTCAAACAGTCCTAAGAATGTCATATACTTAAATTAAGATGCTATGAAGGAAAGGTCAGCCTTTCTAATGCGTCATGATAAGTTAAGAATTCAAAATACAATAATAAGAAAGCAGTCTTGTTTAGAGCATATAAAAAAAATACATAGTAAGTGACACCAACATTCTGCTCATTCGCTGCGCCTACCCATTCCAGAGAAGTACAGGTTTCCACCTAATGCCACCAGGTCGCACCTAGAAGGGTCAGTGAGCAAGAGAAATAGGAACTAAAGCTATAATCAGGTCCGAGTGCACCTAGGCAAACATTTGGGTCTGTTTTCCATTACTGAGAGCTCAGATAAAACCATAATAATTAGAAATGACTTCGCTTCTAAGAATGTGTTCTATTCCTTCTATACAAACTTCTCTGAAAATCACAAGAACAACCATTTTTTCTTGTAGACTTAAAGAACTGGAACTACTTTTGAAGAGAAGAGAAGAAAGCAGAGGTATGAAGAATCCAGAGGAAGAATTCTGTTGCAAGACAACTGCAATCATTGACATTGAAAGTCAAGTGGGGGGCTGGGGATTTAACTCAGCGGCAAAGCGCCTGCCTGGCAAGTGCAAGGTCGTGAGTTCGGTTCCTGGTACCGGAGAAAAACCAAAAAAATAAATAAATAAATAGAAAGTCAAGTGGGATTTTAAGGGCAGTTGTTGCACCAACTTCTAGAATGTCTCCCAGCTGTCTCTTCTTGAATATCTATCTCCAGGGCCAGTGTATTCATCATGTACTATCTCAAACATCAATTCACTCAATACTTCATTAAGTATATATAGGAAAAATGTTTCCCATTCCAGCTCTTATAAGTTGAAATATTATATATATAAAAATATTACATGCATAAAAATTATATGTATTTGTACAATATGCTTTGATATATGTGCACACTGTAGAATGATTTAATCAATCTAATGTTACTTTACCATTATTTTTTATGTAAGAACGTTTAAAAATTTACTCTCAGCAATGTTCAACTATAAGAAACATTAAGTGTAGTCACCATGGTATAGAGTAGGTCGCCAGAATGTACTCATGCTATCCAACAGAAATTTTCTACCCTTTGACCAGCATCACCATATTTCCGCCGACAACTGCCTGCCGGCCCCTAGCAACTACCACTTGATCTTTCTATGAAACAACTTTTCTAGATTCCGAATAGAAGGGAAATCATGCAGTACTGGCTTTCTGTACCTGGCTATTTCACTCAGCAAAATGTCCTTTGGACTCTCTCATGTTGTTGCAAATTTCTTCTGTTCTAATGTCGAATGGCATTCCACTGTGCGTGTGCGTGCATATGTGTGTATATGTGTGTACCACATTTTCATTTGACATTCCATCAAGCAAAAGACACGGCCTTTGTTTGCGTATTTGCTGGCTGTTGGCAATACTCCAATAAACACAGCAGTGTAAATGTCTTTTCTGACATACAGACTTTATTTCAGTACCTAAAGCTTGCATTTCCATATCATACGGTAGTTCTATTTTTAATGTTTTGAGTAACCTCTATGTTTTCCATGATAGCTATACTAATTTACATGCCCACCAGCACGGAGAAGAAGAGTTCCCTTTTCTCCACACCCTTGCCAATCAGTATTTGTTATCGCTTGTCTTTCCGGTAATAGCCCTTCTATCAGGAATGAGGTATATTCCATGGAGGTTTTGTTTGCGTTTCCCTGGTCATTAGTGACTCTGAGTATTTTTCTCATATACCTTTCAATCAAGTGCAAGTCTTCCTTTGGAAAATATCTATTCAGTCCTTTGCCCGTAATTATAACAAACTTCATTTTCTGAAAATCTAACTTCTCACCTAAAAGACAAGTTTTTCAATTGGATGAAAAAGACCAAGGTATATGCTATTTATAGGAGTCAAACCTGGAACAAAAGGTCAGAAAAAGACACTGTAGGGAAAAACTAATGAAAAGAATGGTGTAGTAGCAGTGATAATAGTAAAGAAATAGTTTTTAAGAGGAAAAAAAAAGCTTTATTTGGGATAAAGAAAGCCAGTACACAGTAAGAAGTATTTCATTCCCTAAGAAGATATAACAATTTTAAATTTATATGTTAAAAAAAACCCTAAAAATATATAAAACAAAATTTACAAAACTACAGCAAGAAATGAACAAATATATTATCACAGTAGATTTCAACATACTTCTCAGTTACTGATAGGGCAAACAGAAAAAATGTAGTAAGACTATATACTTTGAAATCTAACACATGTACATAAAATGTATGATTCCTAACAGGAGCATGTGAAACTCAACAACTGGAGAAAATATATTCATTTTGAGCATGAGAAAGCTTAATATACCAACTATTTTAACTATTAACAGATTGTACGGTTTTCATATCCCCATTCCACTCGTAAAGAAAAGACTAAGTTTACAGGTTTGAGATTTTTCAAGATTTTTTGTGGTTTACACTGAACTTGTATTTATTTTTTATTTTTTCATTTTTTTTTTCCAGTACCAGGAATCGAACTCATGACGTTGCGCTTGCCAGGCAGGTGCTGTGCCGCTGAGCTAAATCCCCAGCCAACACTGAACTTTCATTAACTACAAACTCCACCCTCACCCATCTTCCACAGGCTGAGTGTCCCTCTCTGATCCCACCATACTTGACATGCTATTACCATACAGAACCACACTTGAAGCTTTTACCTCACTGCCCTCTACCTCCAGCTATGTGTCTCCAATAAGCAATGAGATCCTTTTACAGCTTGATTTACTCTTTAGATGCTCGCTACCCAGCACAGGGAGTGGAGCATAGTATGTGCCCAAAATACAAGTGTTGAATAGGGAATTTAGACTTTAATGGATCATAGAAGTGGAGAAAAGAAATTCTAAGAGACAAAATGATACAGCAGCCATATAGGAAGGAAAGATGAAGCAAGTAGGGAATGATATAGCTACTTATTCTTGGATCATCCCCTGAGCAAACCATAAAGTAACATTTAATTATATATTCCTGAAGTGGACTGCTAAACAACCTCCAGAAATAATGCAGTCTGTAAGAGCTCCAAGGCAGAACAGCACAGAATAGAACATGAGTTAGCCAAAAACATTTCTTGAAATCTTGAAATCTTCAGACACTGCAGTTCACTGTTCCTTTAATTATGTTATCTTCTTTAAAAAGCGATGAATATGAGAACCAACTACCACTTCCTGGCTGATCAGACATAAAAGAAAAATATTTCTAGGAGGAAATAGTTGGCAAGGGAAGTTCCCTGGCCAGAAAAACCTCTGGTAACTGTAGACCAACTCCCACTAACATTACAGCATGAGAAACTAGACTCCTGTTTCCAGAAAGTCGGAGGGCATAAAAGTAACCTT